TGGTCACACACAGCAGACTGTCCATGGTCACACACAGCAGACTGTCCAGGGTCACACACAGTTCAGTGTCCATGGTCACACACAGCAGACTGTCCAGGGTCACACACAGCTCAGTGTCCATGGTCACACACAGCTCAGTGTCCATGGTCACACACAGTCCCCACAGCTCGGTGTCTGTGGGCACAGACAGTCCAGACAGTCCCAGTTTCCCAGTGTCCATGGCACTGCTCCTGCCTCCAGCCCTAACTCAGCTGCTGGAAGTGCAAGTGTGAGACCACTCAGAGCAGAATTGATTGTTCCTGAGCCTCACAGAGCTGCTCTCTAGAAAAACAACAGAAAATATGAGAATGAACTGCCCTTGCTGATTTTGCTGATTCCACTGAATTTCAGATCTAATAATGTCTCCATGTTGCTTCAATTGTTTCTTCTGAGGCACAGCTGTGACTCTCCCCCCTGAGGGGTTGTGGCTGCACAAAGGGAAATAAAACTCAGCCAAGGCGTTGGACACAGCAGCCTTTCAATATCCAGCCTGTTCCCTACGTTCATACATCCTGGATCTCCAGCTTCTGTCTCCCTGCTAGAAAGACTCAGAATTGGCTCCTCATTCTCAAAGCTCTGGTGTAAACTGTTTAAGGAGTCTTTTCTCCTGGGATTTAAAGTGGCTTTCTGTTGAAGGATGCAAAGTAGCATTCAGTGGAAATGGGTTCATTTCCTGCCTCCTGGATATTCTGACACCATCTTCCACATCCGCCCCATCTAAATTTGGACACCTAAATGAGGTGATGAACCTTGGTGGGGAGCCAAGAGGGGTTGCTAACTGGTGGTCACTGAGACCCTCATAAAGTCCCAGCCATGGGAAGGTCCCTGTGAGCCTGTGATCCCTGTGGTCCCTGTCCCACTGATAGTAGAGACATCCTCTCACCCTTGGTACCTCAGACACTCCCACTGGTTTTACATCCAGACCTCAAGGCTGAACAAGGCATTTGGGCCCCTTTATTTAGAGGATCTTTTAGTGCCACATCCAATTCTATTATCTGTGGGATGAACAGAACTGTGCTGGCAATGAGGAGCCCTGGAAAACCTTGGGTGGGTGGGTGAGTGGCCAACCAACCTGCTCTTCATCCAGACCCTTCTCCAGGTCCAACAGTGCTGACTGGAGCAGGTCAGCGATGCTGAGGGTTTATTTTCCTCCTGCAGTTCACACACAGAGCCCAGCTGTGAGTCAGGCCCCCCTTTGGGTAAGTGCAGGTGGGAAAACATGCCTGGACACATGTTTCAGAGAGAGCTGAGTCCTTGAGAGCTTGAGGGTTAAACTGTCTCACACTCTGCTGGCACAACCTCTGCACTCTTTTTATCATATTGCTAGGTACAAGGGGGTTAGCATCCAGCTCTTTGCTTCAAGGAGCTCTCTGCCTCCTGGACCTGCTTTGCATTTGTACCCAGGGCACCAGTGAAACATTTGCTGCCCCTCGTACAAGGGCACAGTAATTTGTTTCCTGGACATCCCCTTGTCATTCAGTCTGACAGTTCTCCTCCCCGAGGAGCTGCTGGCTTCCCCATCTCCTCTGAGGCAGTGGAGCTGCCAAAGTCCATCTCAGTCCATCTGGACTGAAAACTCTCTGGCATTGTCCCCATCTGGGTGAGAGGAATGTTGAGATGAAACACAAGAGCTCCCTCGGTCTGGCAGTTCTCCAAGGGAGGGGGGAGCCTGCCCTGTGTCCCTGCCCTCCACACGTGCTGGGTGCCCTGCAGGTCCCACTGCACAGCAGGAGGACAGACAGGTCACTGTCAGTGCAGGGCAGCACAGTGAGCTGGGAGCAAAGGACGTGGGAGGGGATAGGGAATGGCATGTGGGAGCTGAGGGAAAAAGCACATCCATGCTGTGTTAGGGAGAGAAGGTTTGAACTCTGGAGTGAGACCAGCATAAAGCACAGGGCAGGGGCAGAGGGAGGTGATGCTCCGTGCTGAGATTTAAAGTAAATAGCTTGGGACAGGCCTGCTGAGTGAGGGAAAGTCTGAACCTGAGCTGACTGGGTCAGGTCTGGCTCTCATGTCTGTGCCCCTGTGCTGTCTCTGCCCTGCATTGGAGCAGCCTGTGCTCAGACTCCAGCCCAGCTGCTTGCCCAGAGCAGCATGTGACAGGCCGTGTCTGAGGGTTAGCAAGGACACAGGAGAATTAATCACAGTGGAAAAAAGAGTTCTGTCATTGCAAAGCAACCCTATTCCTGGAGAAGGAGTCATCTCTGGTCGTGGATATCTGCAGTAGCTCGTGAGCAGGGACTCTCTGGGTCATAGCTGACTGCAAGGACTGATGCAAACACAGTGCAGGGACAGCTGGTGTGACTTGGGAGCCTCTTTTGTCTGATAATGGCACTGCTGAGTTGTCCCAGCCTGTTCTCACCAATAACAAATCAAATCTTTGCCAGTGTCCAGGACGCACAGGATGTGCTCCTTTACCCTTCTGAACTGTGCCTTAAGTACGAGATGGCTTGTGGTCCTCAAGCCCTGCCCCAGCCCCAAATCCAAAGGTTTCTGAGCCTCTCTGCATCCTCCTCGATGCTCTCAGGGCGGTGCTCAGTCCCATTTGGACCAGCAGCTCCATAACCTCACTCCCAGAGCATCCAGACAGAGCATCTCTCCATACAAAAACAACTGCAACTTTCTGTTCTCTGGCCACGATTTCTGACTTCTGCTGCTTTTTGTTCGGGTTTATTTTATTCTCATCATAAATAAAGAAAACAAGCTAGTGCAAAAAATGGTCTGAAATGACTAAAGTTGCATGGCAGGAGATGTGGCACTGGAACAAGGAAAACATTCTCATGGGGTTTTTTTCTGAGTAGAACTGGTTTATGTCAGGGTCAGACTTTGCCTCACTCAGCAGGCCTGCCCACAGTATTTACTTAAAATCTCAGCAAAGTGCATTAAAGCAGAGATAGGAGCCCAGGGAGAGCAAATGGGCCCGGGGGTGCTCTGGGCTGGGGCAGGGAGTGCTTATTGCAGGCTGTGCTCTGCCCTGGTTTGGGCAGCCCTGGAGATGAAGGATGTGTGGAGCATTCCTGCTCCCTCTGGCACTTCATTTGGTGTTGGCATTTGTCCTGTGCAAGGGCTGGAGAACAAGCCCCACTGCACAGCCAGCAGTGGCAGCTCGTTGTGGGGGCCATGGTCTCCCTGTCCCTCCCCAGTGTTGTGCTGTCAGGACAAACCTGACAAGCCTGAGCCTCGATCCTCAGGGAGGGGCATCACCGTGGGTGTGTTCTGACCATCCCAGGGGCTCTGCTCTGCCCCAGCCCCATTCCTCACAGAGAGCCTGGTTGGACCAGAGGCTGTTCCTGCAGCCAGAAATGCAGGGCTCAGAGGAGCAGCCCAGGGTGGGGGGGTCACCTTGATGCACTTCGAGGCACTGGGAAATCTCTGCCTCCCTTAAAGGATCTTTGCTTGCCCCAGACAGGCTGAGCTCGGCTGGGGCTGCTCCTCCAGCCCCAGTGCTGGGCAGGGAACCCCTTCCCTCTGAGGGCTCAGGCAGATGTTCCTCCACATCCCCAGAGCACAGATCCCACTGGCAGAGCTCCTGGAGAGGAGCTGTCTGTGCATCCCTGGGTCACCCTGTCTGTGCATCCCTGGGTCAGCCCTTCCACACCAGCTCCCCTCTCCCCTCCTCCCAGCACCACTTCTCCCAGCATCTCCCTTGTTCACTTTGGGCCCTTCCTGCAGAGCATTTGTCCACAGGCTGGGAGGAGATTCAGAGCTGGAGAGAGGATTTAAATGACTGATGTTTTTACCCCAACAAATCTACTCCAGCCTGCAGGGGCTCAATGCTCCCTTTGGCGTTTTTTCACCAGGAAAAACATTTACTTTGGGAGAGGAAAGAGGCAAACAGAAAATAAGCCCATGTTCACAAGTCTAAAAAATAAAGAATGGACACAGAAATCCTCTGGTGCCTTTTAGGATGATTTCATATCTAAAGGAATGAATCCATAATACAATAGTGCTGATTCTGACATTCGAGTATTTACAGTGGGATCTTTTGCAGGTGGAACTTTGGAGAAAAAAAAAAAGAAAAAAAGAACAGCTCAGAGGGCAAAGGTTTTGTTTAAAAATGTACAACAAACTGTAGCTTAGCACCAAAGAGTGAGAAAAGCAGTTTATTGGCTTCTCACAAGCACTTGAGTATCAAGACATCCCGATGAGGAATTAATGCATTTCAGGAAAAATTCTGAGCAAGAAACTGTCTTTGTTAAACAAACCTTCCCTTTTGCCTGGTTGGTAAATGGTAGAAAGGGACACAAAAGCCAAGCGTGGGAAGGAGACAGAGGCTCCAAAGGGGCAAAGCCCAGATTTTGTGCTGTTGGAAGCTCAAGGCTGAGGTGTGGGAAGAGGCATCTGTGGCTGCAGGGACAGACCATGGGCTGTGCACAGACTCCAGTGCCAGCTCTGAAACACAGGAATGGGGGACAAGGACAAGGGGGAATGGCATTCAGCTGATGGAGGGCAGGTTTATATTGGATATTAAGGCAAACTTCTTTACTCAGAGGTGGGGAGGGCCTGGCACAGGGTGCCCAGAGAAGCTGTGGCTGCCTCATCTCTGGAAATGTCCAAGACCAGGTTGGACAGGGCTTGGAGCAACCTGGGGTCGTGGAAGGTGTCCCTGTCCATGGCAGGGGGTGGCACTGGATGGGCTTTAAGGTCCTTCCAACCCAAACCATTCCCTGATTCTGTGGAAAAGGCTCCTGCAGTGTCAGCAGGACCTGGAGTGCCCCGTGCTGTGCTGGGAAGATCCTGGAGCTGGAGATCAGGGGGGAGGTCTCCTCCTGCTCCGCAGCCGGAGCTGTGTCGGGGTGTCCCCCTCGTTGCTCAGCACAGGAGTTGCTCTCCAGCCCTGGGGAGGGCGTGGGGGCCGTGCCCGAGCACTGGCACTGGGGCAGATGTGGGCACGGCCGGGGGTGGCTCAGCGGGGATGTTGCCTCGGTGGTAACTCTGCTTTCCCCGCTCTCTCGTTCCAGGGCCGCTGCATCAACTTCACCAGAGTGAAGAACACCGAGGCCCCCCCCAAGTACCCCCTCAAAACTCGTACCCCCCGTCAGCTCCCCCGCCCCCATCTACACCCCCCCGCCCCCAGCCCCCATCTACACCCCCCCTCCGCCCCAGCTCCCCCCCACCCCCCACCCCCCCTCCCCGTCCTCCACCCCCCCCGCTGCCCCCCCGCCCAGCCCCCCCCCCCCCAACCGGGCCCCCCCTCCCTCCCGGCCCCCCCCTCGCCCACAGTCTAGGGGGGTCGGCCTTGCTCCCGTCTCTTCCACGAGTGTCCCAGAGGCTCTTCCAGCAGTACTGTATCACATCCCTCCTGGGGGGAAGGGGGCAGAGGAACCGGAGCCTTCCTGGAACGGGTGACAGCAGAACCAGTGACTCCGTAGGCGTCTTTCTCCTTTAGTTTTCTCCTATTTTTTGACTCCCTTGTGCATTGGTGCCACCAAACTATCGCAGCAAGAAAAGCCAAGAGGCTGCAGGAGCAGGACAAACTCCTGAGTTCCATTCCAGCAAGGCTCTCCCCACTCCTGGTCCTCCTGTGCCCCATCATGGTGATTCCAGGACACACTGGAAAAAAGGAATGGATAACTAGAGCAAGCTCTTTACAAAGGAAGTTCTCCCCGGGGAAGGACTGCAGAAGACTCTTCCAAGTGCAGATATCCCAGCCAGCAACCTGGAGACAGCTGCACAAATGTCCTGGGACAAGGTTGGATGTGTGGCAGGACACTGATCCCCTCCTCCTCCTGCACCACCTGCCAAGGGAACAGTGACAACAGCACTCTGCCAGCACAGGAACCCTCTAAATGTGGGGAGAATCACTCACAGGCAACTGTTCCCACGGACCAGGAGCTGGAGATGGGAAGGTATTGGCATCTCAGAGGGTCTGGAAAGGAGAAGGGGTAGGTCTCTGGGGTGTGGATCCGAGGATGTTGGTATGTGGAAGTGCAGGTGGATGAAAATGGAGTGTAACAAGGAAAATTAATTACATGGGAAGATAAAGCAGTCAGGGCATCACAAGGCTGTGACCCCATCCCTGAGGACACCAACAACTGGGGACAGGGCAGCCTGCAGTGCTGCCAGTGGGACAGAGGAGGTGGCAAACATTGAGGAATCTGAGAAAGGTAAGGTTGGCAGGAGAGCCTTTGTGTTCAGTTTAGACAATTATGTACATCCAGTCAATCACCCCACAGCTCTGAAGTGTAATTTAATGTTTCCACTTTAAAGGAGAAGATTCTGAATACAAACCAGAGGTTTGGTGTATCGAGGTCTCCAAATCCAGTCTGCTTGGGCTCCTTGTTCCTGACAGTTTGAAATGGTCACCACTGATGCCTTCCTGTTTCTGTAAATCCCGTTCTTTTGCCCTAGAAATGTTTTCATGTGGATTTTTGTGTTTTCCTTTCCTTTCCTAAATAAGTAGCAGATGCCTCCCAAATAGGGAGTGAAGAAGAGCCAGTGTGCTTACTCACTCCTGTCAGCTCTCCACAGCATCACTCCCATTAGCAGTTGTTGACTAAGGCAAAACTCAGCCCACGGGACTCTCCAGATGGGAATCAGTCTGCCAAGGAATGCACTGGCTGCATTTCTCCTGCTTTCTCCTCACCTCCACGGGACCCCCACCACATCCCTCTGCATCACTCGTGCACACCTGTATCCTACAGCAAACCTGAGCACCTGCCTTTGCATCCCAGAGCCAGAGACGGGTGGGACCACTCAGCATTCCAGCCAAACCTCTGGCTCCCTGGGTTCCTGTCGGGATCAGTTCTCACAAAGCTCTGTCTCTAAGTCATAAGAGATGAACCATCTTTGTAGCTGCAGTTCTGTGGATAGCGAAGGGTTGTCACCTTGTTTTTTACCAGATAAAGAAATGCTTTGCCAAGTACTTCCTTCAGTGCTGTTGGATATATTAATTCTAGCTTTTTCTAGCAAAACAAGAGAAAAAAAGGAAAAAGAAAAAAAATTGCTCAAGGAGGAAAGGGAAGAGAGGAAAGAGACTCAGTGGAGACTTGCCCTGGGCCCCTTTGGGTGGGGACAGGAGGGAGCCCTCAGCACGAGGCTCTGGGTCACTGTCACACACCAGCTTCACCCTCCCCAGGGTCAGGGTCAGGGTCAGGTCTTAGGTGAGATGAACCCCCGTCACGATGGACCCCAGGATCCAGCCCCCAGCCAGGGCTGGCTGTCCTTCCCAAAGGCTCCTCAGCTCCCCCCACGCTGCTCTGGCTGCAGGCAGCACGGAGCAGTGCCCAGCTGGGAGCAAAACCACCAGTTCTGCTGCTCACCCCTTCAGGTTTATCAGCCCCAGGCCGTGGTTGGTTCCACAGGACAACTTTGTGGTTGGCAGGTGGGAGGGAGAAGCTTTAACACCCTGACACAAGTTTGGTTGGATTCCCTCGTGGGATGGACGGGATCTGGTTAGAAAAAGAACTGTTTGGTTTGGTTTCATGATGGAAGCTGTAAAAACTGGGAATGGTGTAATACAGGATCAATAGATATGGCCCTAACAGATCCTCAGTATTCCAAAAAGGGTGGAAAGGAAGTTGATTTTCAATATGGCATTGGGAATTTTATTTTTTAAGTGTCAATTAACCAATAAATTAGTTAATTGGTTAATTAACCAATAAACCTACTGCTGGGGGAAAAATAAAAGCAGTGTATTCTCCATGACTTCTTGCAGATGTATATAGAAATATTCATTCTCCCCAAAGTAAGGGAAAGAAACCCTACGGATTTAAAGAAGCAAAATAAAGCCTAGATCAAGCCTAGGCTAGAAAAACCCTGATTTTCAAATACCCCCTATGCAATCATCCAGTTCGTGAATGAAAAACAAGCTCCAAATTTTTTGTTGTACATATTGTTGCTGCATGCTTACCATATGTTAGATGGAAGCATTTCCTATCCCTTGTGGATAAAAGAACATTTTTCAAGTTGTAGTAAATTATTCTAAAGCCAATGACATTTCATGGCATGTTATCGTATCAAGCTGTGCTTGTTGTATTTTTTCTTTACGGTTGTATTGCTTTGTTTTATAAATGTACAAATATTTCCTGTAGTGACGAACACCTGTTTTACATGGCATTAATTGAGGCACTGCAGCTCCAGGCCACACACCCCCTTGCTCCATTGGCAAAGGGGTCGATCTGGGGTGGGGTCCAGCCAGAGCACAGTGGGGGGACAAAGCCAAGCACTCCCAGTCTGCAGTGGGTTGACTTTGGAGACACTTCCTAATGTTCTCAGAAAAACTGAGAGCATGTTTGGTGGTGAATTTTGTGTTTAGGAAAGAATTCCTCCCTGTGAGGGTGGTGAGGGGCTGGGATGGAATTCCCAGAGAAACTGTGGCTGCCCCATCCCTGGAAGTGTCCAAGGCCAGGTTGGAGCACCCTGGGCTTGTGGAAGGTGTCCCTGCCCATGGCAGGGGGTGGCACTGGATGGGCTTTACAGTCCCTTCCAACCCAAACCATTCTGGGATTCTGTGATTTAGGATCAACCTACATCTGGCTGCAGAAATGGCTCCCAAAAGTACCACATGTGCCTTTAAAATATGTGCTCCCTTTGCGCCAGATCCTAAAGATTGACTTAGGAACTTAATGTGAGGCCATCGAGGGTGAAAACTTGGTCCTGAAATAAACTCAGCTCGCACTGCCAATTAATGCTGTGTAAATGAGGGTGGATGCTGGAGCACCGTGCCTGCCGTGTGGTGCCCTACGTACTCTGTGTCTATAAACCTGTCCTGGAACACGTTGTGTTGCCGTCAGTCCACACCAGCCAACTCCCAAGGAAATGTTCATTCCAGAGCAAAAGGGCCTGAGTGATGCTGCAGCTGCTCTGCCACCTCAGAGACCCCAGCAGGTCTCACTGGTTACCAGTTGCTCCAGTCTGGGCTGGTCTGAGCAGCAGTAAAAGTGTCTGATGGCACCAAACCAATAACCAGTCGTTTGGTTTGCTCTGAACAGGTCACTTTGATTCCTCCCGGTGTTTCTCATTCATTCAAAACTCTCTGACAGTGCCTCGCAGCCTCAAAGGACTGAGCAGCTGTGTTTGACAAAGAGGCAGATTATGTTTTATTTTAATTGCCAGAATGTCACAGATTGTTGCTGGCTGCACTTTGAAGTGCTCACCCACATGAACTTTGCAGTTGCCCGAATTCCCTCCCTACTCCTTGGTGTGTGCAGGCATCTTCTGCACTGTGTATTTTGGGGAAGGGGGGTGTCTGGCTTCTGAGGGCTCTGGCAAGACTTGGGGTAACCAGTCGGGGATGTTGACCTGTGTGTGGTGCTGATGCAGGGAAGAAGCAGAATCGACCCTGTTGTGCTGTTGAATTCCATGTTGTCAGCTCAGCCAGTGATGTTTTACTCCCTCTGTTTGTTGCATGTGTCGTGTTAAATTCAGTCATTACTCTTGCTGCCCTTGATGTTACTATTAAAGAACTACACCAGTCTGGGCTGGGCTCTGTGCAGTTCCTTGCCGAGGGAAAGCAAATGAAGCAGGAGAATCCTGGGCAACAGGTTTTCTCAAAAACTGGCTTTTTGTTATCCCGGGGAGCTCAAGCTTGGTGATTTTCTTCCCAGAGCATTTCTGCCTGACATAAAGGCTGTTTTCACTGGGATGTGACACAGCCCAAACTGTCACCTCCTCTCCTGGTCCCCAGAGCCTCCCAAACTCCCATTTCACACACGAGCCCTTCCCAGAGGCACTTAGAACAGAGCACAGCCATCAGAAATAACTATTACTAACTCATCTGGGTTTTGCTATGGTTGGAATAGTTTATTCCATAAAGGAGATTACTGGAGCATGAAGAAGTTCAGCCTTAGCACCTGCCCTCTTTCAGCCAAGCACACACACCCAGGCTTTTACCTTCCTCTGGAAAGGTGAGCTGGCACTTCCCTCAGCACGTCCAACCTGGCAAATATGGTCTCAGCCTGCATTTTTCTTACTGTGTTTTATTTAAGTCAAACTTGTAAATGCAGAGAGGGAAGTCACAGTGCTCAGCAGGTCCTGCTCTCACCCAGACAAAAGGTGCTTTTTAAACCAAGACTCAAACAAAATCAGTTGCTTTGCTTAGAAGGGACAGGTGAAAAAAAACCACAGGGCAAGTTAAGCGTGAGCTCAGGAGAAACAAACCCACCTCGATGGCAGCCCTGGGTCTGTCAGGATGTGGAATTCCACAGAATTGGCCAAATGGAATCCCATCACTACATGGAGGAAAAACAAACAGGAAAGCAGTGGGACCAGGGAGGCTGGTTTGCCT